TCATGAAGTAACCGTTTAGGAATCTGCTTTCTCACAGTGCATTCAAAATACACTTTCAGAGAATCCAAGAAGATCAATTCCGGGGGGCGTACTCCGAAAATGGATACAGCGTCCGGAACAATGTTACTTGTAACACAATCTCCAATCGTATGTTGTTGTGCCACCAAGAACTCTCGTTCGCGAGGAAATTCACGAGCATATCGCACCTCAATAGCGGGGATCGCATCAACATCGATCCCAGGATGTAAGTGGTGCGTATCTCTCTTCAAAATTGCAGCTCTATCCTGCTTATAACCAGTATTGATATGAATGTATCGAGAACAAAGATGGACATAGTTGCATCCCAATATCCAAAATACAGCCTCAGTTAAAGCCAATGAGCGACCCTCGATTGCCAATGTCTTCTTCTCCCTTCCCCTGTCTCCAGCGGCAGCAATGGCGGCGCCAGTCACTTTCAAGTTGCGTAAAGGATCCTGAACCGCAGCCAGCATATTTTCTGTCCGACCACATTTCAGAAAGACCCTTGCTCGCTCTTCTTCACCCGCTGCGTACTTAGCAAGATAACGCGCCGTAAAGGTAGGGCTACAAATCTGCAGATTGTCGCTGCTCCTAGCTGCGGCAAAAATCCAGTCATTGAACGGCGATAATCGCTCGTCAGGTTGAGCTGGATACATGTGTTTTTGTGCAACTAATTCCTGGGAAACTACAAGACCTCTCTGACCACTAGGGCGCGTACCTTCTTCAGCTAGTCCACAGCTCTCTAGGACTTGCAGAGCAGGCTCAGAGTGCGGCACATAGATATCCTTAGTAGAATACCTTTCTGAAAACGGCCGTTGAGGGAAACGACACTTCATTTCACCATCGCTGTCTCTTTTCTTTGCACAGCGGAAACCCGCCTTCTGACAATTGTGCTCCTGAATCTGACTGGCAAGGTGTCTCAGTTCGAAAATATCATCTAAATTTTCGACTAGTCCAGCACGCTTAAATGCCTCCACATCATAGAAACTATGTTTGAGTGTCGCTGTGACTCGATGACGGACGACATCCGACTCAGGATTCTCTCCTGTCCACACAAGGGCATGGATGTGGGGTAAATTCCCTCGTGTAGTTTGAAACTCCCATCGCCACCACAGCTTTTTAACTGGACCTAAAGGTTGCTCTGGAGATTTCTGTATATACTCCATGAGATAAGTCCCGGCTCTCTCCCAAGCTCGGAGCATAGGAATCAGCGAAGCTTGTACAGCAGCATCATGGATCTCTTTAGAACTTCTCTGATAATGAGCTTCAATCCACTTGAATATAGGACTAACACCGAAGTGTTCGGACTGATTGCAACTATGCGTATAAAAATACGTCGGCTGCTCCTTGGCTATCTCCGCTGCCAATTCGTTTACCCGCCTTCTAGAGTCCGCTTCCCCGAAAGGCAGTCTGCCTTCTGTACGAAGGGTTTCATACGAGGATGGATCCGCTGAGAGATGTTCCCAACCACGAGATAGAATAACGCGGGTATCAGAACTCGAGAGTTGGAGATTGAAAAGGGCATCAAAATAAAATTGAATGGCCCTAGGATCAGTAGACGTTAATAACGTTGGATCCAGTAATCGAGTTCTGATATGAGCTCCAAGATCAGCGAATCCAGCTCTCTTACAAGCAGATGGAGTCGTCCATAAGCAATGGGGAAGTGCCCCCATGACTGTTCCATCAGGCAACGATTTCCAAAAAATGCTCGGGAATAACATCCCCTCAGGATATAGAAGAGGAACCGATGCACCGGCAAACCGTGATGTTATCCTTTGAAAAAAGGCTGCTTGTGTGCTACTCACAAAGTTAGCAATGCCTGGACGAGATAATAATCCTATATGCTTATTCAAAAGGATATGTCCCGGGACACCAGATGATTCCTGCATGATCGGAATATCTGCCGAGTTAGTCGATGGAACGATGACATTAGGATCCTCGGTATCATCCTCGTCCAATACGCCATCTTCCAATATATCGAAGTCAGGGTCCATCAGCAACCCTCCTTCAAGCTGGTGAACATCATCATCGGCATCCTCAGCCTGCATCGCTATCAAGGCCTCCATAGGATCATCATTGTCCTCATTCTCTTCTCCTAGGGGTAACGGCACAGCACCTGGATTCGCTGGACCAGCTGGCCGGGGATGAATCGTGGATAATCTTCGATCATTATCAGCCGATTCTTCGAGTAACGCTTTTCCATGAGTGTTACAAATGGCAGTCGTACATCCCTCCATGGGGCAAGACCATTTACCGACCCGATTACAACAGAACATATCATTATTATCTCTGAAGCAGCATGGGCCTCTGCGGTACCCCGAGCTGTGTAAGATTGGAGTAATGGTCAATGGTACTTCGTGTGCCGAGCAGATCAAGGATCCTTGACCCCCAGTGTATTGGAGATACCGAAGATTCGTATCCAACCTGTAACCACCGGTAGCTCGAACATAAATGAGAGCACCCCAGGATTTATAGATATCCTGCAATTCCGCCTGTGCCTCATCACGAATGGCTGTAACGATAGGCTTACGGGTAGATTTATACCATGCACTGTGTGGTCCCTCATTGCGCAGAAATGCTGTAGCATCCCACTGCCTTTCCTGTCGTCCACCTCCCTCGGGATCATCCCAACGACTAGCGGCTGTACCGTCAGCCTTCAGGAGAGCGACTAACTCCCATGAAGAGCCTCCACATTGAATGATGGTTTGTGGTGGTGGTGAGCGACGCGCAGTTGTTGTTGGTGCGTCAGTGCATATGCAAAGAACCCTACAATCATGCAACGCTTGTGGGTTCGGGAGATTATTCAACATCCGCTCAAGAAAATCAGCATTAACCTGAGTGGATCGCGAAGTCTGATACGTCACGCATGTTCCAGGTAAAGTATCAATGAATCGAGCGAGCAAAACGCAAGTATGAGCGCATGCGATATCATTGACAGGATCAGGAATAAGGCCGTTGATAGTTGCTGCACAATCTCTAATCAATTGTTGAACAACTCGTGGTGGGGGAATTCTGTTACGAGCGTACTCTCGCCTTCCAACAATTGTTCCCAATGGTAGATATCCCGCACAGAACAGTCGAATCCGGTGTAAACGGTTCACTTCTTCAGCATCATTCTCTTCCTGCACTGTAGTGCACGTTAAGCAATGCCAAAAAGTAGGTATAAACGATGACAATCGCAAGACTACCCAGAGAAGAGGGAAAAATTTGCCGGTGAATGCGTTCAAAAGGCAGGGTCTTGCGCCAAGGTCGTCAGTAGTCTGAGGAATGGCGTATGCCAAAGGCCACGATGCGTTTCGTCTGTTTTCGTCATCAGGACGTTGTGCTGCCTGTGGTTGATCTGGTACAGGTTCGGCCCCTAGAATAAGGTCTGGATGATTCCCATCTTGAAGATCATCCGGGGCAGGCTGAACAACGGGTTCATTGCCCTCGAGATTGTCATCCTGAGGATCACGAATCACAGCACTAACATGGTGCTTCATACTATGAAGAACGTCTAATGATTGCTGCACAGTGACATAAGTAGATCCAGCAAGTGCTTCATCACGCTCTTCGACAGTTGGCAAAGGCGTATCCCGTAGTACTCTAAGAGGAACAATACTCAAGGGATCGCTTGCGTACTTAGATTCGACAAAGGCTTTCAAGTCGGGACGTTCAGCAAAATACAGTGATTCGAGCTGTGTATGTCTATCCGATTTCACATCCCATTTCGGGGATGTAGTGAGCGAGAAAGAAGATAACCCGCTGAAGCCTCCTTGGACCGCACGCATCTGCCAGGTATGAGAAGAATACTTGGCCTTCATACCGCGAAAAGGTTTTGGCGAAAATATTGCGGGAGTAAGACGATCACTGTAAGGACTGGGAAAGGTACCGTATGGATTGTGAGGAACATGGATGTAAGACTTTGATGAACCTTTATCGTGCGAACGGCAGGTACACAAGGCGAGTCCATTGTCTGTTACCATAACGGCCGCACAAATGTTGACTCCGTACTGAGTAACTCTATCCGTGAAGTCCCGCCTATATCCGCGCAAATAACGATCGGCATTAGCCCCAAAGGCATTGATCTGTGGAAATACACACCGGAGAAAGTGCTGATACGTCACAAACCCAGTTTTTTCAATGTACTCAGAGCAGCCGAAGGGACATCGAACACTGGGAACAGCTGTCTCGTTCAACGCCTTTTTCAAATCTGATAGTCTACCGGAAGACACTCGTTGACGGAAATATTCACGTGAGGCGGTGATATCTTTGACCTTGCGAGGTGTTCCATATAGGATGTCGTCGCAATCAACTTCGCTTACTCGACCACGGCCAATCAACCGCGTAACGAATGTCCGACCCCAGGTGACAGAGAAACTATTCGGAATGTATGACAATCTACTCTCTAATTCAGCCGCACTAGTTGATTGGAGCACAAAGCTCGTCAAGAAAGCTCGCCAACCGAACTTCCACACAGCATTCCTCGGATTCATGCGTCCAGGTTGAGGCTGAGGTACCCCAGGTGGAGTGGCTGGAGTAGAAGCCGAATCCGATTCACTATCATGAGAATCGGCAGAGTTATGCGTCTCAGATAAGTTTGGAACGTTATTAACTACCGGTGGCTGTGGATTGCGTTGCGCATTTTTATATACATATCGGGAACACGTAGCACATAGAGGTATTGCAGGTCTCAAATCACGACGAGTCACTTGGGAAAAGGCCCTATGCCCTATGTTCTCGCGCAAAGTATAAACAACAGGTATAATACATAAACAACAACCGCAACATTCGCGTTCCGGGGACGATGATGAAGAGGAAGAAGATGATGAAGAAGACGAAGTATGAGTAGAACGAGGAGACGTCAAAGAAGGAGACGATTGCGAAGATGATTTTGAAGAGGATGCTATAGATGCACCACATTGTTCAACCGGTGACGCATTTTCATGTCCATCAGCTACACTAATAGTAGAAACATTTTCGGTCGCGTGACCCGAGCCTACCGGCTCTGATGAGTCTGCTGCCATTCCCATTTCTTGTGATTCTGGTTGCGCTGGTTGCTGGAGTGGTGGCTGCGCTTGGGGCTGCAATGAATGGCACGATGGTTGTGGCGACCCAACTGTTCCACCACGGACTTGGGTGCCTTGTGGTACGGGAACCACGGTGGTTCCCGTCGGTTTAACTACCGACGACGCAGCCTGAGTGATATACCGAATGCATATTTCTAATAATCGATTCCAAAAACAAGGTTGAATCAATTACCTGACGGGTTGCACAGTTAGCACAAGGTTTGCCGGTCGCCTTGAAACGACCGCAGTTTGAGCATTTTTCGCGGACTATTTTACGAGGAGCCATTGTTAACCTGCTTGTTATAAAAATGCAAGACCAGCGAAGAGAAAATTAATGGAACTTACGAATGATGTAACGCCTTGTGTTGGAAGATGTAGTGATTAATGAAGTAGGTGCAAGTACACGATACTGGTTGTTGACAACAAAACAACTAAACTGAACATAGATCCCATACTCAACATAGATATACAGGTGGCCGTGCAAGGCACATGAATATCATATCGTTGATATACATCGCCTCAACCTGTGAAAACCTCAGCAAGCGTATCTTCTTCCGAGTTAATCGGTGTCACTACCAATCCTGCCATTCCAAACTCTGCGACCGAAACTGTGCAGTGATCACTGCTATGATGTTCGATTGTGCAACGCGGATGTCGATGCGGTTGAACTGTTCGTCTTATGGTTGAACGCGATACCATATGTCGAGACCCACTTCGTAACACAACAGCAAACGAGTCCGACATCGGGCAAATAGAGCATCGAAGTTGAATAAATGAAGGCATGAACTCAAGCACAAAAGTTGCAATCACAGAGATAATCTGAACGCACGTAATGCCATGTATGTCGTTGATGAGCGTTCAAACGAAGCACTTTTGGCAGTTAATTCCATGTACCAGATCACCGGATGTAACACCGAAAGAGTAAGCTCGCTATCTAAGGTGTCAATATTTCATTCACTAGTAAGGATTCATTTCACTGCTATCATGACTATAACCCCTATCACTAGTATCACGACTCACACTACTATCACTCTCATCACTGCTGTCACGACTATCAGTGCTATCACTATTATCTGACCTCCCCCATCTGTCAGTGCTATCATTACTATAACTAGTATTAATCTCCCACAACAACTACTTCCACCAGTACTCCTATCAGGAAAGTCATCATTCATACCCCTACTACTATCATTGATCCCATCTTCACAACAACCACTTCTACCATGATCGCCATAGTCACTCCCATCAGCACTAGCCTCGTAGTCCTATCGTCGGCACCATCACACAAAGGAAAATTGTGAGAGACACTCCTATCACTACTAGCATCGAGAGAAAAAGTGCAGTAACTTAGGCTACGAAAATTGTTGCGCCTGACCCTTTATGATCTGACGTTCTTGATTGTCTCAGATGGTAATTCATGTATAAAATAAAACTTCAACAAAAATAGCAGAAATTCCACCAGCAACGGCAACCAATACTACCGAAACCACTACCACCATTATTACCATCACTGTGAACCTGCCCATCAGCATAACTATTATCGTTTCTACTATCATCAATACACTCCCAGTGAGTGTCACTGGGTAGTGAGTGATACCGTATAGTATAGGCATACGATACGTCTAGTATAATTACACAGTGACAATGCATAGTGGATAGTCAAACACTGAAGCCAGGACTATTAGTATCCCTCTCACCATGCTGTTGCTATAATCGCTACACTACCTCCTACAATCACTTGACCATCAGAACGCCATCCTCAGTACTTCTACCATCGTTATTACCAATGTTTCGATCAAAATTATAACCATTCCTATCACTATATTCTAGTTATAGTTTGACCATGTCTCATTCCGCCAGCACCGTTACAATCACTATGATCCCTGCCATATCACAACCATCACCTCTGCCATAACAACTCCCATTGCTTGCCCTTACTACTGCTCAATGACTACCATCGGGTGTCCAACACAGCGGCAACCGCTCCAAGTACCGTGAGTATACCTGTTACTAACACTGAAAGTAGTGTCGCTGTGCTACATTTGATTCGTAGTATCAACGACGCCACCATGGACACCACTACTCAAGATATTTCGCAAGTATTTCGACAAATATTCCTATACATAGTACTATATTTGTAAGTATCCTACACGCCAGTCAAGTTAGAGAACTACTGCTTTTCTGGCGATATTACCTGAGACATAACCTCCGATGCAGGCGCAAGACAAATGAAATATTAATGACATCGTCACTAGAGCAACACCGACGACATGATGTTAAAACAGCCCGAAACGCTGACATTATGCTTAACAATCTGCATTAACCGGAATCGACACCACTGAAGAGTAGTTAATGTCGAATTTCACGGAATACAGGCAAACATTCCCAAGTACCACGAGGCATCCCGACGACGACAAACATTTATGAAATACTCTTAGCATTTACAAGATATAGCGCGATGATACGTTCCGAAGGACACAGACACATGTAATAACAAGTATGAGACCTGGGAAAAAATTGTTGCAAGGCAGCAATAATGCTTTGACACATCCACGAGTAAAGCAACGAACATCAGTGCCATAGTTAGCTAGCATAGTTATCAGTTATATTACCGCACATGGAACTATCAGTACTAAACATGAGAAAGGCTAAACGAAAGAGCACATTGGTCAAACTTCCTCCTTTGGGCACAATAATATAGCAAAAAATCGACGGATTTCATCCCACGGCGCGTACTTCTACGGTGAACAGTGCTTACCAGGAGACTCAACCAGCAAAACTGCATTACGCAACGCATTAACGAATCCACATGTAGTCGCGAATGAAGGAAAGTACCTTGACTTTGAGGGTTTTATGCCACTTGGAATCGTAAAGATAAAGAGATTGACCCACTCATGTAAATAGAAAGACCACCGTTATCTCGTCTAAGTCCAGTGGGAATGTGATGGCATCTTTGGCGTTGGACTCCATCGTTATGATGAGAAAAATATAGCGAAGCAGTAACGCTCTTGAAAAAAAAGCAAATTTAAAATCGCACAGTCCCGATCTTAGCATGAGCGAATCATTAACTGCACGTAACGATGGAGAAGCAGTGATACTGCTACAATACAACCCGAAATCTTATTGTAGTGTACGTATAAGAATAGAGCTGGGGGCGGAAATATAGAGTACTCATCAGACGGTGCTATCAGCGAGGAGATTGATCAATTAACCAAGTTCTTGCGTTCGGAATCTTGTGCACTTGAATAACCGTAACTCGACTCTCTGAACTCGTGAAACTCTCATCCTACTTCGGCTACTACTTAATGTCGCAATAATACATTTATCCGAATTCGAACCTGGATCAACGGAGGGAAGACTGCGCATCCTAACCTTCTAGACCACAGTGACTACCCATAACACACTCGTGACGTCGAAACGTGACGTCGAGACGTGACGCCTCTCGATATATCCTGTCTCCCATTGCTCTTTACATACCTTTCATTGTCTAACTTACGCTACAACTTGGGTTAGTCATATACTAACCCTGACTCGCCGGCACATACAATATTCACAAGTGGAATAATGGTACTACTGGTTGCATATACTTCTCACGCGCCACGAAATTGTCTATATAAAACATAACTATATCATATAGTATATTAACTGGTCATGAAACAATTTGTCCCTCCCCGGGACTCGAACCCGGAACCTTCCGGTGGAGAGCGCGCGCCCTTACTACTGCGCCAGATCAACTGACAAGCACTACCGTACTTAAATGACGAGGTCACTATGAACAAAAATCTTTAATCCCCAATTACTCGTCAGGAAATCTATAAACTGCCCCGAGAGTAGCACTATTGTGCTCAGAAGGACCAAACGAGTCGATTGGTAACATTTTCAAGACGGTTCTTAGGCTCAGTTTCGAAATCGGCTCGAAAAGTGCGGGATTTTGATGTGAGTAAAATTGCTCATATAGGCGCGCGGGTCCCTCCCCGCTCGCCCGAAAAAAGTAACGCGAAAAAAAAATTTCCTCCACCTAGCCCGTAGAGGACTCCCTTTCGGGAGAAATTGGCGTACATGAGGGACATTTATATGAAATACTGTAAACACTGGCCGATGGTTCACCGGCGGTGAATTCAACTGGAAAGTTGAATGGCTCCTGTGCTGAGTAGTAAGAGTCACAAGTAGTCGTCGGCCCACTCGTCACTCCTATATCCTGACGATGTTGGGCCGACATTGCTACTGACTTGCTGTTGAGTCGACGCTTTGCTATCGATCGAGGGATCGATAGCTAGGCGGTCTCTACTAGACGCCCTATACTGGACGTTTCAGATCTATGTATCAACTTGCGCGTTCGCGCATTCTCTAGATTAACCTCACGAATTTCAGGTATCCCGGTGGGAGGGGGTCCGTGCACCCCACTAAAGTGGGGACCCTGCACGGACCCGGTGGGATTCGAACCTGCAACCACCTGCGCGCAGACCTAAGCGCTTACCACTACGCTAACCAACACTTTATTCAATATTACCAACTGCTTTGCTGTTTTTCTGTCGACCAGAGAAAATATATTTATAGCCTGTTGTCGAGAATCGAACCTGGATCATCCGCATGCGAGTCAACTCTACTAACCACTAGACTATCACCGATATAGAAATTAGTACTGTGTAATGGGCTGCTCCGATCTCAGAGCCGTAAGATAATCTGGATGGTGGTTCACTGCCTGCCCAGGCCCTTGAGACACTGTTCCAACCCATTCACTGACTCACGCCACCGTGCAGCAAGCCTATCTCGGCTCTTACTCAATGTAGAGATAGTACATTCACCCGGATTCGAACCTGGGTCCACGCAGTGGAAGAAGTGCATCCTAACCTACTAGACCATACTGACTGTTCATGACACGCGTAATGATGACACCCGGACACTTTGAACAGGACAGCCATGGCTGCTAATACCCACTTCAACCTGATGATTCCTACAGTACATTCCTCGAAACTACACTCGACCCCCTCTTTCTGTATCCAACATCAACTCACTCTCAACACTACCACCCAACTCGTAAACACCCACAGACTATATATATACAAGTGGAATAATGGTACTACTGGTTGCATATACTTCTCACGCGCCACGAAATTGTCCATATAAGACATAACTATATCATATAGTATATTAATTGGTCACGACTCGACTTGTCCCTCCCCGGGATTCGAACCCGGTACCTTCCGGTGGAGAGCGCGCGCCCTTACCACTGCGCCAGATCAACTGACAAGCACTACCGTACCTAAATGACGAGGTCACTATGAA